GGGACTAGTACTTCCGATTGAAACAACTTTACGAAAGGTGGTTCCAAAGCCGAGGAAACAAAGTTGTCGGCCAAAACACGGTTTGGCCGCCAAGGGCTTTTGCGGTCAGCTGATTTTTGGCACACAGGTACTTTGACATGACCGTCACTTGGCACAACACTTATTATAACAAAAAGAGTTGGCATAGTGAAAACAGGTGGAAATTTAGTTTGGGCAGCGTAACTAAATGGGAACTGGCTTTGACCGTCAAAGGCTGTCAGATAGTACCACTCATCGTGGGAGATGCACACTTTACAGGTGGGAAGGGACCAGTGGACGGTACTTCCAGTTCGAACCACTTTGCGATAGGTGGCTCTAAAGCCGAGAAAAAAAAATTGTTGTCTACAGAGCTCGGGGCGTCAGCGTTTCCTCATCCAAAAGTAGGCTGATCAAGAAAGAAAGCAAACCACATAAACTTCCATACTCAAACGTCGATTCTCCAGTGATTCCGAGTTTCATTGTTGTTTTCTTTAGATTTATACTTGTCATTTTTTTTACCGTTCGAATCTTTCTTCATGAAGTACAGATTGCGTGCCATACTTGTCCGAAAATATCATCGACATGTACGATGGGGACGAAACTTCTTTGGAGGGCATTCCTCCAACGAAATTGGCACTGCATACCCGCGAGTGTGGGATGGCATTTCAGTTCGTCCTATCGGCGCTGACACATGTAGGCGTTACTGGTACGAAAACAAATGCAGAGCGCAAAGTGGCAGTGTAGAATATGTCAGCCGTGCCGACACAGTGGCAGGCATGATCGGGAGACCAAATTTCTCGCGTCGTACGGCACTGCTCCATCGTTGTCGCTGTCCCACAAAACATCGGCGAGGTGAAAAACTGTGAAACTTTGTTTCCACGAGATACGACGCATAACTATTGAAGCACTTTATGACGCAGCACAGGCATCACTTCATGCTGTAAACCCAGCGCAACCGCACCACTCGGACTTCAATGCGTACCAACGTACGCGGCGTGGTTTCGGTTTCGTTTTCTCTGGGGTTCTCACTGCCTACCTGCGGTACCGGCCGCGCAGCGGCGCGCCAGCCACGTCGCACGGAGTGTATAGTGATCAATTACAGGCGCATCAAAAAGCCGGTGTACAGTGTACGCAAAATTTTTTTTTTGTAATTGTGACTTAGAAGTGGCTCGCTTGAAGCGGACTGGCCTAGAGTGACCAAACGAGTCAAATTTGGGGGTTTTACGTGCCAAACCAACGACGGGCATCTGGCACGCCCCAGCGGAAAACTGAGGATTATTTTCGACCACCTGGGGATCTTCTGACGTGCAACCGAAAGCTCGGTTACACGGCCCCTCCTCCGCAATAAGCCTCCGTCAGATTGCGGGCACCTCGGCCGGGATTTGAACCCGCCACATGGGGATCCGTAGGCCAGCGCTCTCGCCTCGGAGCCACCGAGGCGGCTAGTGACCAAACGAGAAGGCATCCAGGGGTGGAACTCATAAAATGTACTTGGGAGCAGCCACGGGAGCAGCTGAAACAGCTGTTTTGGAGCAGATTGGGAGCAGCTAAAAACTATGTTCTGGAGCAGGCTAGGAGCAGGTCAGATCAGTTTTCATTGCACTTCAGCTTGTGTCTTAGACACGCACGGGAGCAATTTCAATCGTGCCTAGCAGCACAAGTGAACATGAGTGGTTTGGGACCTAGGTAGGATGGGATAACAGTATAACAGATGCGAAAACTTGAAACTGTGAGCCTTAATGAGAATCAAAAAGCAAGTATTCTATGTTTCTAGAGATAGCGTCCTTGATAATATCTGAGTGGCTTTCAGCTGCTAAAAGTGCAAACCAGCACTGCTTATCGCACAACCCACACGCGCTCGACATAGTGATTATATGTGCGAACCACGTGGCGTCCGTAAGCAACGGACGTGCAGTTCCACGGAGGAACAGAGCAACAAATTTCAAGTTGTGCAACTCGATATCGAAGCAGCAGACTATGATTAACGAAGTTATTGTATTTGAAGTGATAAGCAGGAGCAAGGTTAATGTACGCCGAGTAGATATACCACTCGCGTAAGAGCTGCTGACCGACAAGGTTTCGGATCGGACCGCGTTTCAGTTCTATCAAATCATGATTTATCTTGGGAGAATACGGTTCCAACTTCTAACAATGAAGTAGGTACTAAAAGAAATAATTTGCTAATTTTTTTCAACTAGCTGACGTCAGGGTGCCGGATCCCGGGCCGCAGAACCTCAGGCAATCTCACGCTTAACGACTCGACCTCACCTCAGCCGGCTTGCTTAACTGCTTATGGTTGAAGAATAACAATCCAGTCGCAGGTGGTGTAGCGCTTATAATCAGAGTTTTTGCGCGCGCTTCCGACTCGGGATACACAGAGAGAATAAACAAAAGAAAGGATTGTAAAGCCGACCAGGCTAACCACGCTCATTGTTGCCAATCGAGTCAATAAAACCGAAACCAAGTCAAAATAAAGAGATTTTGGCGCACGTTTTGTAATCTGGCGCATAATGGCGTGAGGTATTGGCTCTGGCGCAGTTTCAGCAACATGGCGCACGATGGCGCAGACACATGCGTCTGGCGCAAAATGGCGCAAAATGGCGCAAATTGCGCAGCCGTTCCACCCCTGGGCATCCTAAACGACAGTGGACCCTCTGGCGGCAGCTTTTGACCCTACAACAAACTTTGGCCGAAGTTTCGTAACCAAGGTAGCTAGGCTCGTCAAACTCAAAGTTGGAGCTGAAGTTTGCGGAGCGTGATGATTGTACTCTTGAGACGATGACCTCACGCAAGATGGGATGTCAATCATCCAAACTCTCCCGCTTCTCGAATTCTAGCAAGGTTTGTGAAACACACCGGAGAAACAAATGCAAATTTTCGCACCACCACCAATTGTGGCGTCAGTGCTTGGCATCATTGAAAAATAATTTTGCTTACTTGAAATATGCATGAAAAATAATATCACTGCAAGAGATCTGCGGAGATAAGCATGATTGATAAGTTGACATAACTTAACCCGAGACAGGGAAGAACAAGGCACATATAAGGAAGGGACAAAACGCAATGTCTCCGAGAAGTTGCGTGTTGTCCTTTCTTTTTATGTGCCCCCCTTCAGTTTTCCCCGTCTTGGGCTAAGCTACGTCAACCTTTCACAAGCTTGCCTGCGTTCAGCACAACGGCACCTCATAGCCATAGTACAGAAATAGCAACTGCCATAACGAACAAGACAATCAGCCAATCGCCTTGCAAGGTTTTGGTCGTCTGTATATCAGTATCTGTTTGTGTCCTACTTGCAGGCAGGGAAGGCAAAGGTGCTACTTTACCAGGATCCAGTCATTTTACGCTGATCGGCTGACATTGACCTCGGCCCATCGGGCTACACTTTGAACTGAGCCAAAAGGCCGAGCGACAGGACAAGAATGGCAAGGATGTATTTCAGTACATTCTGCCTTTATGAGCGGACAGAAGAGCAATATCAGACTGAAAACTTTGGCGGTGTTGATTTAAGAATGCCATTACTCCGAGTCTCCATCCTGCTTTCTTGACACACCATCAAACTTGGTTTAAACTGACCATCCTGGATTATCAGTTACAACCTTGCAAAATTCTACATACGTGAAACTGGTCACACGAATGCCGTTTTGCAGTTTTGTCTACTTTTTAGAGCTCAACTCAGAGGTGGTGAAATATAAAAAATAGCACAAAAACGGTGTCCGTGCATTTTCTTAGTCTTATATCAGATATTTTTCGTCTGCACACTGGTTTGCAAACCTGCTCCCAGGTGATCATCGTTCATATATATTTAGTTCAGATGACTGTCACAATTATCCTGCTCATCGCCAGCCTCTACTAGGCGTTCTAAGCGTGTGTTCTACAAGCCACCCGGGAGCATCCGGGATCGAAAGCGTCCCTCTGGTCGGCCTTCCACGATTGGCCGAATGCCGACTATGAGGTCAGCAAAGGATTTCTCATCGACAGAAATAAGAGGGTAATCTAAGAACTTAAATTTTTGGCAGTGTTGGTTTGACAGCGCAATGATTTCAAGCTTCCAACATGCTAATTACAAACACCATTGAATTTGTTGTTCGCAAGGTAATGTCGTCACGAGAGGGAACTATAGGAGGGCGCCACCAAAACCCCTCACCGCTAATGGGGCAAGGCAAATACATCGCCACCTCTAGTAAAATAAAATTTGATAAAATTTAGACATAAAACTTCCTGTGAAACGATGTTCACATGCCCAGTTTCAGCTAGCACATTTGGAACTGGAATTTTGCAAGCAGTGTCAAATGTAGTTATCCCTACGGCCTCACCGTATCGATTAGACTTCTATCACCCCCAAGCTGGACCAATCAACCGCCTTCTTTTCATCACCTGCCCCCGCTCTCTACGGGCGGGTATGATCGGGAGAGTAATCACATGGCATAAGATAGACGTCTGATTGGTCCAACGAGCTCATAGCTTCCAACGCATTCTGAGCTATGGAATGAACAGTGTGTTGTAATTTGCAAGGCATCAGAAACTTACGGGTATGGGTCTGTGGCCTTCTGTGGTACAATAAAACTTGAAAGGAAAAAGTTCTCGGCCAATCACCCCGATTGGCCGAGGAGGCCCAACTGCCCTTTTGAAGGAATCCAACCACGGTGATCGATTCGGCAAATCGCGCGCAGACTTTCAAGAGATCCCAGTTTCTCGCGGGCACCGGATCATCGACAGAGATCGCTAGTGCGGAGAGTAGGGTTTCGTTTGTCGATACCACCCCGTTCTTTCGAATGCGCTGCTCAAGCGAAATTAAATAACAAAGGTTGTCTTGAGAAAACGGATAGCAAGAAAAAGTCGCCGGGGTGGCGAACGCTCACTACTATGATACAATGTCGGATACGGTGTTCAAATTGTCACAAGCTTAACGGTGGCATTAATGGAGAAGCAGTTATCAAAGGATGCATCTGTTGCACGTAATGAAAAGGCTTTTGTTTACTTACACGGTAGTTCACAGATAAACGTCACAATCAACAAGTTTTAAACGTGCGTGCCACACACCGGCAGACATAAGAGCTTCGCTCCAAACCACAGTTGCGGTAGCGCATTCGAAAAATACGTATGACGGTGTTTGCCAGAGGTGGGACGGCGCCACGGCGCTTTGTAGTGACATGTGACATCACATCACGCAAGGAAAGACACGGAAAGCATAAAAAAAAGACAATAATTCATCAAAAAAAGTTTTAATTTTTATACATTAAATACTTCTAACTTTATTTGTGTTAAAATTCATTTTCCTAAATGTCTTGATGGCGCCACTTTACACTGTAGCCACTTTAGCAGCCAATCCAAGAGCCAATCAGAAGTTTTCGCGTTTGTTTTTCAAATATCGGTTTCGGCCGTTCTGGCAGTTTTCAAGATGGCGCCAACTTTAAAGCGTCGTCGTAGAAACACTCGCTGCTCCAAAAGTTTGAATAACTTCGAATATCTCCGATTTCTGGGCGAAGACAAGAAGGATAGGCTGCGCAGAAAGTACGGGCCCTCCGCTAAAAAGGCATGTTTTGTTTGTCGCTTCCAGACACACTTGCTTTTTCCGCAGCACAGCACTTGTCATTGAAAGGGGTCCATCCATCCTATCGGGATGAGGACGATTCGTCACATGCGCACTCGTTGCAGGCCGACTGGTAACATGATGATCCGTCACATGGGAACATTCGCCATAGGGCGACTCGTCCATTGGACAGCTGGTCACATTGAGTTTAGGGAAGGATTGTAATATTCAAATGAGTAAAGCTATACGCACTCCGGAGTGCGCTTCGCATGCCGCTCGGGCCACCCTTTTCGAACGGCGCGGGAATCACTGGGGAGCTCGTTAACACAGCCCCCCGCCTGCGTTCACGCCGCTTCGCGGCGACAGTATCGGCTGCTAATTACAAAGCGTAACCAGTACACGCCGCTTCGCGGCGTCCAGCCGGCAATCCAAGCCCCGCTGTCCCCGATCGCACCTCCGGAAAGGGAGTCCGATACCATTTAGTTCTGCGAAGTTTCTCGACAACATTCGATTTTTTTTTTTTTTTTTTTTTTACTGTTCATCGCCGTCCGAAGCGCACTCCGGAGTGTGTATAGCTTTACTGTATTCAAATCACCATTTTCAGTAACTAGGTATGTCCCCTGACGACCGTACAGTTAGAAGGAAAGAACGGGATGCTTTAATAAAAATTAATATGCATGTAAATTTATGCAATGCCGGAGGACGTGCGTGATCGTTCGAGCATGCGTAAATACCACGTAATATTTGTTTCAGGTTGCTAGGAATAATGTTTATGCATCGGCAGGCTGCAGCCCCCTCTAGTGCGGACCCTGCGCCACAGCAAGTCGTGGCTGATACGTGCCGCAACTGTCTGGAGGTCACTTCCCCCAAAGATGACAGACACTTTCCCTGACCACCGTGACGACATTCGGGAGCTGTGCAGAGCAATCGCGTGTGCGTGCGTGCGTGTGTGTGTGTGCGTGTGTGCGCGCGCGTTATTTAGGTACTGTACATTATCTGTACCTGGACTTGTTGTCTGTTTCTCACCGATGCTGATCTTTGTTCCCCTTATTTTTATTTCCCTAGTCTCAACCAATAGCGCCCCCCAGTCAGGGGCACAAAACGTGTATTTGACGTAACTTTACCACAAGGTTTCAAGCTACGTCCGACATAGCCCAAAATGAAAATTAATGTTAAGTCCGACGAAGTTCAAAATAAAATTATGTCTGATGGAACTTGAAATAAAAATTAAAGTTGCGTCTGACGGAGCACGAAATAAAAGTTAAAGTTATGTCCTGTGTAACCTACGCAACCTTACTGAATGTTTCGCTTTACGGCCTACAGAAGACATAAATTCAAAAATAATGTGAATTATTACTGCATTACGTCCCATGCAGCATTCCTAAACCTGTTGAAAGCGCGTCTTCATCCATGCCTGCAGGCAGGCACGTAGCCAGGATTTTGTTTTGGAGGGGGCCCGCCCATGACAAAATTCTGTATGAGAGGGAGGGGGGAGAGGAGGTCCCAGCAAATTGGAAGATTTTTTTTGGGGGGGGGGGGGGGGGGCCTCCCCCGTCTGGCTACGTGCCTGCCTATCGAGGGGGCTGGGGCGTGTTTGTCGCATATGCTGCTGAATCCGGAAGGGCTCTATACCCGTCACATACATTTTTTTTCCTCTTTTTGTTCCTTCCTTTAAGATGATTTATTGTGATTTTTTTTTCCCGATCTGAAAATTTGTTATATGCGAAACTCAAAAGAAAAGAAAAGGGTAGTAACGTTAACTAAATGGAACCCCCCCCCCCCCCCCCCCCCCCCCTTTTGCCGCATTTGTTACGCCAGTGGGTAGCCTTTGCTGGCTTGTGCTGAAAGCAAAATTGATATGGCTAAAGGCAGAAGGTCTATTGTCATTCTCACACCCAGGCAGCTCCCCCAAACAGCTCTTTATTTAAGACAGTCTGAAAGAAAACACTGCAAAAGCTAGCGCGCATAGCGACTTGAGCGGTACGGTATGTTTCGCTGTGACCAATGGGCCTGTTACCAGTCGTACTGTGACGAATCGCCGTTTGACGAATAGACCTTATCCCCATCTATCGACTCCTGTTTTCACTGCACCTTGCCTGTGCCAGTTTAAACCACTGGCGTAGGTTTTAGTAGATGGGGGGGCGGGGGATAGATATGATTTGCCTTGAGGCCAGTACTGCCAAGCGTAAGTAGTCATCTGTTTTCAATGTCTCGCCGGATCACAAGCCAAAATGCTTCGATCGCGCAAAATATGCATTCCGTCATGACGGCAGTTCCCTTCTCTTTGAAGCAGCGTCATTGCCCCCGAACAAAACCAATTACATAAATATTATGGTGATTGTAACGTTACCATTACTTTTTTTCGGCTTGAGTCCTTCATTTAATGTTCTTGCTTGCATCTTGTCCTTGACACTCATGCCATTCGCTGTGAAATAAGATGGCACTCGACTCACAATGACCACCACTTACCTGGGAAGGCTTTCATTTTCCCTTGCATGAACATTGCTCATGGGCAGAGGTCCCCAGGCTTTGCAAATATGTGTATTCTCGTTGCCAGTGTCATATCAGCATAGTCAGTCACCACTACCCAAATGTTCGAGATTTATCAGGCTTGGACATCAGTTACTGGCTTGTGCCATTGGTAGGGGTCTACACACGCAGCTTCACAAGTTCCCATTGTCGAGTTGTGCCGGTCCAAACACTACCCCGTATTCTAGTACACTGTAGTGCATGCGCATAAAGTCAAACCTTAATCAAACTTTCTCAAACTTTTCAATAAAAGTTCGAAAACTTCGAACCCGGTCGAACTTGGACCTCAACCGGTTCGCGACATCCTCAGTTGCAGGTCAGGAACGTCGGTGCTTTTAAAAGAACCGAGTCCCATTGGACATATCAGAATTCTAAATTTTTAGTTCATACCCTGAATGTGACACATACTGCATACATGTGGCAGATTTAAAAATAAAGACTTTCCATTATAACCTTGACCACTGCTTCCAACTAAGTATTCTTAATCTTAAATTTAGATTGAACGTTAATGTACTACCAGATGCACCACTCGCTGATGGTAACTCTGTCGAATGACCACGACATTTCAAGATCCCGCTTCGCAGTCATTGAAAAACTAATATTTTATTTTTTGTTTAAAATCAGTTAGTAATATTGGTTACCGGTAAATAATTTAGGCTTACGGTTTTTAATAAATTTCAAATAACGGTTTCATTCCAGTTACGGTTACTGAAAAAATTTTGTTCCTAAACGGTTTTCGTTTACGGTTCGAGTCCCTGGTCATACCCTAACGCCATTTTGTGGGACAAATTAGTTTTGCAGCTTGTATTTTGAATTGATTCTGCTGTGAGTAGAACGACCCACCAATTCCAAAATCCAATCTGTCATTTTTTTTTTTTTTATGCAACAAATGGCAGGCTATGTGGACCACAAAAGATCCATCGACAGATTTGGAAAATGTATGGACTAAATATAATGAGCGCAGGGGCGTCAGAAGTGTTAGGAAGAATTGGGGGGAATTTCCCTCCCCTTCCCCAAAATGTTTTTGCTTGAAGTGTGAAAGTGTCTAGGGAGCAAACGCCCCCCAACCCTTTTCGACGCCACTGGACGAACGAAGGAATGGCGCAGAATCAAGCTCCAATGTTTCATGAAGGGTGATTGTTCATTAAGCACTACGAAGCAGTAGGCTTTTCTCTGGTCACAGAAGATTTAGTGAACGACGTGAAGGAAACATTCCGGAGAACCGACATTAGTCACGGACAAACCAGCAATGACTTTTTTACTAATTTTTATTTTGCACCGAACCTGAGCGCACTGAACGTAGTAACTTAGTAAAACTTTTCTTTCCTCGAAATTCCCTTTATTTTAGAAGTTATAGGCAAATTAATATTACAAAAAACAAGCAAAAAATAACCTCCCTCATGACGCCCTTGGTTGCTTGAGAGTGGCCGTGAACTAGAAGAGAAATAGTGAGCTCATCGAACGCTCACGGCTGCCGCACTCCGTGTCGAGGCTATGAGAGGGCGCCAATAAAGCGTGTTCTGGATAGGCTGTATGCAGCGGGCAGCCAGAGCGGCTCTCATTGCATTTGCGGTGCGATTAAACACTAATTCGGCATGATACTTCATTGGTCACAAACGACAGCAAACACGGGGTAAAGATCAGTTCAGAATGGGAGCTACTTTGCGCTGCCATACCGCGAAACGGCCAAACCGCAAGACAAAGCTTCTCGCCGAAGGCCTTCGGAACGCTCGGAGCCGGTCGGATCCTCCCGCCCATACGACCGCAGCGCCGCCGCGTACATCCGGGACCTTTCCGTGTCGGCGCCTGATCCCACTACTCCTTTCTAGTATGCGCCGCCTTTTCCACCACTTGGTGGCGGGTATGTCGACGGGTCATTTCTTGTTTCCGTACTTTATGAACTGCATTAATTTCTTTTTTGATCTAAAATACTGAACAAAAACTACTTTTATAAATAATTGAAACTGTTCGCGCCACTTATATTTTGTTTTTCGACTAAAAAGAAGCTTTTAGCGGCTCTGACCAGTAGTAAGCCCAGGACCAAAGACGTCACATTTTGCGCGCTTTCGGTACCGCGGGTCGCCCTCGTCGGTGGAGGAGGTTTCCGCGTCGTCCGGTTTAAATATGACGCGCTGATATTTAGTTACTCTCTCCGCGCCTGCTGGCTTGCCCGAACCCCAAGAGACGTGGAAACCGCAAAAAAGATAAATGCTTAAATATGATTGCAGGGCCCCTTTAAAATGCAACTTACTTTGTCTTTGTGGAAGCACCTCGTGCTTGCTCTGATGGCTATCGACCGTGCCGTGAATTATCTGCACGAGCAGTTCAGGTCATGTAACAATAGTAGCCCTAGCAAAAATTCCCATAGAGAATTCCCATAGCCTATCGGTTTATTGACACCTATGGGTGTATCGGCCTAATAGTGTATGGGCCTATAGGCGTATGGGCCTATAGGCATATGGGCCTATTGGTGTATGGGCCTATTGGTGTATGGGCCTATTTGTGCATTGGCATATAGGCCATCTGCATGAGCACACAGGGTATGGTGGTGCCTTTATACATTTTATTATGCAAAAAAGGGTCTTGAGGTACACTTGCTCCTGTTATGAAGGCATCTTGACGCTGAACACTGTCACAAACTGAGTCTTGAAGGTGCCAGAGCGTAATGGCATACTTCTTGCTTGAAATCCTGAAATGAGCAGCAGATCAAACAAAAAGAGTTAATCGGCGGCGTGGCAAAGGTGGAGGATGATGTCACCACAGAAAGTGATTAAGGCTAAAGCCATTCGATAGATGACTCGAGCATTTTTAAGTTTCAGACTGAAGATAATAAAATTAAGAGGCTGGATTTCCTTTGTTTTCTGTCTTCATCATGAGCCTAACTGCCTTCAAAACTTATTAAGCATCTACCTTCTGAAGAACCTTGAAATTAAATAATGTAAAATTAATATCAGCTTTGTTTGTGGGATTCCTAACAACGCTTCATTTAGTTCGGTCAACAAATACATAGTAGGCATATAAACTCAGGTTAATTCGGGAAAGTCAGGGGATCGAAGTTTGCCCTGTTTGCCTTAACATTACCATCCAGTCCACTTGCATAACTTCAAAACTAGTTGCATGCTGTCACGCGTTTTATAAAGATGGCTATTTTCGAACCATTTTGACTGCAAAGGTATAGTGGCTCTGCATGAACCGAATACTATGGAAAACTTCTCAAATGAAATTAAGTATGATCAATGTACTCAACTTATAGTGGGACCACTTCAGTCCACTGCTAGACCAGTAAGACATTTTCTAAAGAAACGCATTGAAGGTAGCATTAAGGAATTTAGTAAGTGTGCTCTGTTGACATAAGCTACACTTTCTCGGACCACACCCGGAATGAGGGACAACTTTTCTCTATGCGACGCGCAGTTCCAAACATAAGAACAGGTAAACAAGCACAACTAGTTAAAAAAAAAATAGCTTAACAAGCAAGAGTGAGCCGAGAAAATAGGGAGCTTTAGAATAACGGGCGCTAATTTATCTCGCGTTACGGACGGCAAAAGCGTTTCTCTGCCGGGGACCGAAAACGCAAGCATCTCACACTTAAAGCGCCACCAAGATTTTGCGATAGCTTTTATTTTGAAGTTAGAATGTTATATCTTTAAAATTAAACAAGCTTATCGTCTGGAATAACATTTTTATAGTTGTTTTATACTCAATGCAGCATGTTTCTGTCACTGTCAAGCAGCTCTGTTGTACTTCCGAGGCCACGACGATCCATAACCCCGGCATATTTACATTTCTGCCGCGATCGCAAGTACACGCGCTTTGATAGCTTTGAGCTCTGAATCCAACGGTATGTGACATTTTCTGTACGCTATGACTATACCAACCGCGGTCGCCAAGTGCGACTCACGCAGTCCCAAGCGGGCGGCGGGCGTCGAAGACGCGATCAACGGAATGTCGTGGGCGCCGCTATTTTCGGTATCCGCGCTATTTCCGAGAAATAACGGGCCCCAAAGACCAAGCCCCAATGCTCGTTTTGGGTCTGCGCATTCGCACTAGCGACGACGTTAATTATTCGAGATTGCGGACGTCGTTCTGAAACTCCCTAATGTTCAAACTTCCACGCGTCTACAATGCAAACAAAGAGCAAAAACATGCTTACCAAGTGTGTTGAGGTGCTCGCTAGACTGTCGCGTCGTGGGTCTTCCAAGCTCTTCTTGACCATAATCAACATAAGAGGAGACTTCACAGATAGGTATACTTGAATAAATGAGCACATTTCCATGTCTAAAAGCATTTTCGTCCCCTGACAGAAACACACCCGACGCACGACAAGACAATGTCGGGGGAAAAAAAAAAGTGTGGTGTCGCTAGCGATGGGGTGCTGTAACGAGTACGAGCTCGATAGGAATAGATAACTGGGCAAGTTGCTGAGAATTCATGTTGAGAGACAGCGCGACCGGGACGAGGACAAAAAGACGAAGAGAACACAGGACAGGCGCTGTCCTGTTTTCTCTTCGTCTTTTTGTCCTTGTCCCAGCTGTGCTGTTTTTCAACAATATGAGCTCCTTACAAAATCGAAACCGAAACTGGCCGAATCGCGATGGAGGGTGCCACAAAAATGTCTTTACAAACTTAGGAATAAAAGAGGGTGAATACAGCTATTGTTATAAGCACATGAAATAAATTGTAAATTATGACTAGTACCGACTTGCCATTTGTTTTGGGTGAAATGGAGTAAGAATTAAGTAGATTTCTTTGTTTCAACCCATCAAGATATTTTCTTTATTTTTCGTAGAGATTACTTTTATTTACACTTTCCTCACAGTATTTTATTAGTAAATTATTTTGACGCACCAGGGTCCCAAGTTTTATTTAGAATATTGCCCTAAAATTTATTCAGAAAAGAAAGCATTTCATTGTGCTATTTTCCTCTAAATTGTGCATGACTGTGTGTGAGTCTCTTATTCTAGCATTATTTCAAGCTACAAAACTATATGAATTTTTATAACCCATTGATTTACAATGATGGTGTGTTATGTAACCTGGGCTTAAACCATTTTTGCCATTCGAAAATATTGAGGAAAAAAAAGCGTAACATTGTCGCATAATTAACTTGACTGATGTAGTTGTATGCATACTGTTCTAAAGTGGACACATTTTTTGCATTTGGAATAGATATTTGCATCACACAGCTCAGGTTACATAACACATGCATCAAATGGGCTGGTGTATTTCTGACACGGACTATTCTGAGAGACATATGTCTAATTTATTCCTATTGCTCAAATATAGACATCCACAATTGGTACAGTCCTATTGAATGATTCGAGGTTCCTACTAGTCAAGGAAGCATTCCTATTTGGCCAACAAAACTTTTGGTTTAACTGATGAAGATTCCTAACCGTCTGATAAAGTCCTTATGGGACCAGTCTAAGTTTCTATGGGACCAATAGGAATGCCTATTGGACCGATCGAAATTTCTATAGGCCCAATAGGCATTCCTATGGGACCGATACACACTCTTATGGGACCGATACACACTCCTATAGGATTGATACACACTCCTATGGGACCGATACACACTCCTATGGGACCGATACACACTCTTATGGGACTGATACACACTCCTATGGGACCAATAAAACTTCCTATGGGACCGATACGCACTCCTATGGGACCGATACGCACTCTTATGGGACCGATACACATTTCCTATGGGACCAATTGAACTTCCTATGGGACCGATACAGATTTTTATGGGACCGATACAGATTTCTATGGGACCAATAGAAATTCCTATCGGACCGATAGAAATCTCTATTGGTCCGATACAAATCTCTATCGGAATTTTTGCTAGGGCTAGGTTCTGGAACTTTGGTATCTTATTGCAACTGCTAGAGCACTACATGTTGCCTCTGGTGTTTGCAGTTTAAACTGACAAAATAATATTGGATACACTTTCCGAGAATTTGGTTTTAATTGAGAGGTCAGTACTTTAGGGCGGTTTAGCTTGATGGCCATTTGAAGGGGAGGGGGGGGGGTCATCCCTCGATTTTGTGACGCACATCCTTATCGAGTTATCAGCTATCTTCGGAATTCCCCGGTGTTATGCTGGGAAGGGGGATTCACTAAACAAATTATAGGGGTAGCGCTTTAGCCCGTCTCGTGGCATAGCCTCCTATGAACAACAACACGCGGCGCTGACGTCGCTCCACTTGACGCGAATCTGGTTCCTGCGCACACGCAGTGCCCACGCATCGTGCGGAAACTGCGCGTTTGCCCACGCCTGCCACTGAAGTGCTCTGCCACTAAGTGCGATTCGGAAACTTTATTGTTTTCTGACTTCCGATCACCCAACGTGGACAAAGGACTGGGCCGTCATGCCTTTCGCCTCTTGTCCAGCTCGCTTGCACATTTGCATTTAATTGCATTATAATCATAACCTTCAAATGCAAGCCGTTCACCCTTGTTGGTGTTAGACTGGTGGCAGCCGATAAAACCCGTTTGCTCTACTGGCGTCTAACTCCTGGTTAGCTCAGTTGGTAGAGTGCTCCACTGGAAATGGAAAGACTCCTGGTTCGATACCAGGACCTGGCGGATTTTTTCGGTCGCGCAAGTCGCCTAGCTTTGCTTGGAGATTTTTGTTTGTTCTTTGTCCCCCTGTTCCCCTTCTCCAGGGATTATTTTCGGCAATCACGGTAGTTTGTTTACATGGGGTCTTGCCGCTCGGGTCACTGGTTTCGTTTTCAAGCCACTACCGAGATGGCGGACGAAGTTCTTGGCGCGCTACTAGATGGCGTTTACATCAGTTACTGTTTACAGCTAAAGACGCTCCGCGGTTTGCCGCGGCCGCTTCCACTCGTCTTTCTTTTCAAAACGCTTCACAATATATTTTATGAAATTCGAACGGCTTTTAGCATGCTCTGATGTGATGGTTATACAACATTTATTGTTAAAACATGCATATAAAATTCAGCAAAATGCAAAAATAGCACAGTTCTTTTTTTTTTTTTGCTTTTTGTTTAATTATCGTTTCGCGCCTGGCAAATATAACTTCTTTTTTTTTTTATCGGAAGCTTTCTAGATGTATTACATATAAAACATGCTTGAAGCCGGGCAACAAAATACTTAACAGAAAAATAAAAGATTCTAAAGGTGTGAAAAAGTATCTTTTGCAGCCGTTTATTCTATCCTGAGGTGGTCCAAGTAAAAATACAAAAAAATACCGACTTTAGAAGAGTTTTTAAGCCGCCGGCATGTTGCTGATGATAATGTAGCCGGTTAGAGTGCCTCAATATCCGGTTAAGGCCCCTGTGCGACTCTCGCGCCCCCTATCAGCTAGAAATGTTCTGCCACTCTCTTGGACTTGAAACCTGCTCAACGCGAGTCTCCGCCTTCAGTGTGTTTTTTTTTTTTTTTTTTCTCGCTTTAGAAAAAAAAAAAAAATGCTGATTAAACTTTTAGAATTGAAAGACACCAAACTCTTCTAAAATCGTTTTTTTTTTGTACTTGGACCATTTTAGGGTAGAATAAACGGGTTGTTTGGGCATCAAAACAGACTTTTTTTTTCACAACTTTAGGATTTTTTTTTAAAGAGGAGAAACAATTTTTCATCTTTTTCCTGTTTAGCTTTTCTCCTCAAATCACAAATCGCGCATTGCACCTAACAGTTCAAAAAGACGAAAAGGAGGGAGTCCCCTCTTGCTCAAACCAAATACTTTACGTAAAGTATTTGCTGAAACCCTAGTTTGTGTACCCGGACACAGCCATTCTCCTCCTAGAGGATTAACCCGTAGTTCAAAACTCGGAAGAAAAGTTGCTTTCCCCACTTCGTTCATCCCTAAGCTGACAGTGCTGTGGAAGCTACGTGCTCCTTGGGCCAGCCACACTTTTTCCACGTGATAACGCTTCCTCGTGCATGCCCACCCGCAGCGCATGAGGTCAGATGATGTAAGGGAGGGGGCTGATTGGTCCGGCAAGCGCATAGGTTCCACCGCACTGTCAGCTTAGGGGTGAAGGGATTAACTGAAGTCTATGCTGAAGTCCGGTCTCGTGTGACGTGCGTTTGGGCCCGGTGACGCACTTTCGTGGAGGGAGGAGGAGGTTTCCTCCGCGACCATGTTCGGCCGCCTGTTTCTGCCGCTGCGTTGAGCGCTGACTGCAACACAAAAGCGAATCGGCGACATTTCACAGCACTGCCGTCACCTTTTCGTCCCCGTTCTTTTTTTGTGGCCCACTGTCGTCGGACATCGTCGCGACGGCTGTTAGAACGTTCTTAATTGCCCTGTTATATACGTATATATTTACTGTATATATGTGCTATACACACATATAGCGCACCACTGTCGTCTGCATCGGTGCGGGCCTAAGGATCACGCATTGCCGTCACGGCGGTCTGGGTGGGTGTTGGTACCAGCGCCTTCGGCTGCTGCAAAGTCGTCCGCCGGGGCCGTCGTCGTCGTAGACGAACTCCGCCAGTTTTGTCCACAGCAGGGAGAGTTCAGCGTGTGCTCGGGTCTCTGGATGAACCCACATCAGCTCGTCGTCCTTCGGTAAAAAGCGGCACACACTAAAAGTATACGAATTTTGTACTTTGACGAAACACCTCGCAAAATACGCTTAAAAGGTTTTTCGTTTTACTAATAGCATGTTAGATACTCTTAGTATGTACACCCTAGTTGCCAGACTGGGTCGACGCATGTGGGAGCTTTCGATGTGTAACCGAGAGCTGTCGTTCCACGGCGCCTTCTCCGCAATAAGCGTCCGTTAGGTTGCGGGCACCTCAGCCAGAATTCGAACGCGGCAGCTGTACTTAAAGTTTGTTAAAAGTAAACTTGATATATTGGAAGTATACGAAGAACGTGCTTCGAGCGTGCTCTCTTGTTTGCTCACAGTACACGAATTAGCGACTTAATGGGCCTTGCTTTTCGCCGAGGGATCCCCCTCGGTTCGCTCTAGCGCGACGACGAACCGATTATTCCGGGGAAACAATCGAGCTTCGGGCGTCCGTGGAATGCGCCCGGCGCAGCTCGCGGTCGCTGGCGTTGCGTGCGCGGCTGAGTGCAGCGGGTACGGGTGGGCGGGCTGTGCCGTGGCGCGCGCTCTCGAGCTCCTGCCGCATCGTTGGCATCGCCGCCGGGTCCCGAGCCCTCCTGCACACTCCGTCCCCGGACGAAGTTCGTCGTTGGCGGGGCCGCCATGCAGCGCTACATCTACGCCCTGGTCGGCAGAGGCGTACTCTTCTGCTTCATCCCGACCGAGGTGAGAGTCCGAGCCGTGCCTGCACGAGGGGTTTCGGACGTCCACGCGTGCTCTCCCCGAGAACGAAGCGAATGGTTTCCGCACTAATGGCGC